GGTTTCAGCCAACAAGCCACACTTGGGGAAAGAACCATTTTTGGGGACATAATAAAGATACTGATTTCAAAACTAGAAACCTAACAGCTGTAGAACTAATTGCAGGCATAGCACAAACTGTTTAGGAGTCTAATTCTACATGTAAATGGCACTTAGGCTCTTAGATCATTCGGGTTAGAAAATTTCTCAGTGGACCATCTGGAATGTGCAGGAGCAGTAGTCCTGGCTACACACTACAGACTTTTTTGTTCTCCTGTAGAAACTCAGCTGCCTGGGAGCAGGATGTCTCTTGCTGCTCTATGAGGAGCAGCTGCCCATGACCCCACATTTCAGTGATGACCTCACGCTGGCTCTGTGCTGGCCATTTCTAGGGGACTATTCCCATTTTACCACATTGTAGAAAGAAGAATCTGTCTCATTGGAGATGAATGTGTGAGAACTTGCAACTGTGAGAGGATGGCACCATGTCCTGCCCCCTTCATCTCCTATGCCTGAGAGATGAGCCCTAAAGATGAATACCTGCCGAAGATCCTCCACCTCACATCGCGTATCATAATAAAAATTGGTGTTTTATTTGTTTTGCCAAATTAACAGAAATTATCATCAAAAAACTATCTTGGTAGTGTCTAATAATAAGCTTTTTAGAGGCCTATATTTTTTGCCATAGCTGCAACTCTTCAAAAATGTAATGCTTTGTTTTGACTTGACTAAGGGCTGGGGTGGGTAGGTGGGTGGTCTGGAATCCATATGGGCCACTTTAAGTACCTTAGTCACACCAGAAGCTTTGAGTTACCTCAACATCCTCTCTGTTTTTCCTGTTAGCAATGACAGAAGATTAAAATGGGAATAAAAAATAAAATGTTCCAGTTTAATTAGTTACAAACCACTTTCACATAGCATTTCTCTTTCTAGAAATACTCAGCTTATGAGGTGTTTGCTGCCTGGTAACTGGTCTCTCTAAGTTTTTAGAAATAAATAGCTCAGCATGTTTCTTTTAGTTATTCTCTAATTGACACAAATTAATATTTTAGTTATTTATTCCACTTTTCTGTGCTCCTGCTTGTTTGTTCTTTTAGAGTTCCACTTGTCAGAATTTGGACAGGAGACCTCAAAGAGAGCCCTGCTCAGGTGTTGATCTAATGCTCTCACATGGTATCTTGCAGCCGTGCACCTCTGAAGATGTTTCCTAATGCTCTCCAAAAGCAACGACAGAGCAGCTCTTTCCAAACGTCCTTTATAGAGTGTCACTATTGAAAATAGTGTACCTAAATAAAAATTCCTAGTACTTCCTCCCACCATGAATGTCCTAGCAGCATCTGCTTGACAGTTTTCTATTTCCTGAAGCAATTTGGTCTGTCATGGTGTCACATGGTATCCAACAGCTGCTGTCAACCAAGAAGTAGCTTCAGATACACAGTGGATGAAGTTTCTTCTGGGCAGCCCTGGAATCTCCACATTCTTGCAGTCCTGGAGAGGATTTCCTGTCCTACAGGATGCATCATTTCCTTATGATTCCTGCAGCTAAACTTGTCAGGCAGGTAGGATTTTAAGACTTCAGAATTACACACACACCATTTGGGAATGTTTGAGAACAAAATATTATTTACTTGGGTACAGTACAGCCACATTATTCATGCAAATCCACTGCCAAGGGAGTCTTGTCATAATATACCATCTATTTAGGAAAACATAAATAAGGAAAAAAAGCCCACCCTTCTCATAACTGATAGGACATCATAAATCCTGGGTTCCAACAGGATTTGGACCCCTACATCATAGGTCTGCTGATTTCATTATGCCTTCCATCTCTTTACTGAGACTTCTGTATTCCTGCCAAGTGTTGTTTCTGTGTCCTTCTCTTCAGGCTTGGATAACTGCACTCCTCTCCCTTTTTTCAGGTCACCCCAGTGCTCTCAGCACTGCCAACTCTCAAGTGCACCAAGGTGAGCCAGAAAAACACCAGAAATGCCAGAAAATGGGCCCAGAAAAACACTAGCATGAAAATGGTGTGGATGGCTGTAACTTGACTTAAGCACACACCAAAATGACCATTTAAATCTTTACTCATATACCCTTTAGGCCACAAATTAGCTTTGTCTCGTTGGTAGAGCCTCTTCAATACCATTTTGTTTTCTGCTGGTGTTTCTAAGGTTGCAGACAATATGAAATGCAAGAGATGCTCTTGTTATTATTGTACTGCAGCCTGGGAGGTGTGGAAAGAAGCCACCAGTGTGACCACTTGGTTCTGATTACAACTTGTGTGGATGATCTCACGATGGAGACTGACTGATAGTCAGTGATGTCACTGATAGTCACGATGGAGACTGACTGATAGATGGTGCCAGATAGTCTGGGGAATAGCGTCCAGTGGGCTTTTAAGATAAATGCTTTTAATTTAAATAATTTTTCATTTCTTTCTTGATAGTGAGTCAAGTCTTCTAGCTGAGCAGCATCTATTGTTGTTGCCCAATGGATCTGATTTCTAGTTTTGCAGACTGCACAGGAGCCAGGATCTGGGTTCCTGGTAGATGTGGAGTATTTGACATGGTGCGAGAAACCCTGCCTTGACTATATTATGAAATAGCAGGGCGTCACAGGGTTAAAACACACACACGCACACACACAGAGGACATACTATTTTTGCACCCGTACTATTCTGGACAGTCCCTCCTATTGATTACATTACCATACACTTCATGTTGCAAGGAAGGAGAAAGCAACAGGTTTCATCAGCCTTGCCTTCAGAGGCTGATATGTTTCTATCCAGAGCCAGATGGAAAGTGGAAAAGGAACATCTGAGAACCTACACGAAGAATCAGTAATAACACAGCAGTCAACTTGCTCTTGCATCAAGGCCAGCTGAGGTTTCCTCACTGTGCTAGCAAAACTAAGAAAGGCTCTGCTGGGCCAAGTGTCCTGGCATATCCATGTCCTAGCTGCACGCCTCCACTTCCAGCAGCACTTTGGTCTTGTCCCCCTTTGATCTTGCTCATGGCTGAGCACTGCAGCATCAGCAGGAGAATGAGCTGCTGGCAGGTTGTAGCAGGTGAGGACACACCTGCTGGCTGCTCCGGGAGGCTTGGAGGGGCCAGACACCGTCAGAATTCCTAGATGCTCTCTAGGTTTGCATATTGGATTTGTTAGGCACAGCAGACAGAGCCAGGACCCAAGCCACATGCGTGGCTGCTTTTCTGCAATTGTATTTCCATACATGGCTATTACTGTGGCCCGAAATAGCCATGGGGTGCTTTCAAAGTGAAAGCTCTTCAGTGTTATTAATGAATTATGGCAAAAGCAGCAGTAAATAGAGTTGCTTATTTAGTCAGGAAGTGTTTTAAGGTCTGATTGGTTTTGATGCTGTGGTCAAACATTAATTGGGGTTGGACATTGTTGCTTGTCTGCAGGGCCAAGTAAAACACCTGGATGTGTGGAGCAATGTCATTGAGCATTACCAGGGGACTCTGTAGGAGTCAGAGGCAAAGGTGCAGCACAATTTCTGACATGTTGTCATAGCATACCACAACATTTTAAGGCTTTTTAAAATTGAGAGGTGTGCTAATGGAAGTGCCAGAACACGTGCAATCCCAGTGTGATCCATTCAGATGATGGAATAGATTTATCTATTGAGATTGCCTAATTCAAAGAATCCCTCAGCTTCGCTTCCATTAGTGAGTTACTTTTGTGAAGCTTTTCACTTGTTTTGGCCCCTCTATTTCAAAGTAAACAGCTTTTTGGAAAAAAATGCCCACAAAGAAAGTAACCTGACAGTTTGTATCTCGCATTTGCCTAAGTTATCTTAAAATGCTGCAGAAAATTTATTACACAAATACACGAGCTACTATCAATCTTCCCATTTCAGAATCTCTGAAAAACACAATCTGTTTAAAAATCACAAATTAGGCAACTAGTAATGATGGCATTCACTTAAAACTATTCTTTCCAAATTATTTAATTTTTTCCCTGGCTTTTAAACCTCCTACTTTCATGTTTTAAAATTCTTCTCAACAACCGTCAGGGGAAGTTACACTAACTAAATAAAAAGAAACCTGAACTTTGGTTAAGCCCATAACTCTGACATAGAACCTCTGACTACTGAGAAACTTCCAATGAAACAAAGAAATATGATGGTAATTGCCACAGCTCTTGAGGAACCTCACACACACACACAGAGAATTCTCTGAGTAGGAAGAATCAGTGAGTGGCTGGCTTAAGTGAAAGACTGAAGACTGAAGCTTCATACTACTCATAAGCCAGCACCAAGCTTCAGACTGGCCTAGAAAAACAACAGGAAGAGCCTGTAAAGCTATTTCCTGATGAAGGAAGACCCTGTCCTTCTGGGCTTAGGATATCTCTGTAAAGCTGCTTCATACCCTAAATCTGCCTTTGCTGTCAGCAAGATATACCTGAAATCACATAGCTTTGTAGAGATTATTCAAATGAGAGAAAGGAGTTTAAGGAATTCAAAGCATTGAAAAAATGCCACTCTTTATAAGCGTGTTTGGGAAAACAATATGGTTTTAGTTTGCTCTGGTATTCAGGGATTCAAAAGAAGAGAACTGAGCCTTAACATTTTTTCCCAATCCAGACCAAAAGGTAAGAGGAATGTATAAGATATTCCTTTCCAAGGCCTACCAGGTGGGCCACAGATACATCTTTCAAGGTATGCTTCAAGGTACACCTGGCTCAACAACTGCATCTCCACAGGCCACTAAAAATCTGTCTTTTTACCTCCTCTCAATTTTTTGTCTTTTCCTAACTTCATTCCTTCACCCCATTCTCTCAAACCTTCTCATCCCTACTCCTGTTTTCCATTCATTTTCTTTACAAGATCTTTGTTGTCCTCCCTCCAGTTTTGCCCTCACAGTTCCCCTTGTCCCATTCCACAGCACTAATTCTGCTCAGGGTATAGAAGAATTGACCCAGGTTTAGATACTGAGGCAAGAACCTTCAGGGTCACAACTTTAAACTGCCTTTTTTTTTGTTCCCCTTCATACAGGTCTTTACCCTTTTGTTGATTTCTTTTGACATCAAGTCCTCCTCAATAGCTGATTTAGCTTGGAATCATATGGCCCAAGAACAGCCTGCTAGCAGGTGAGTCCTACTGGGGAAACACCTCTTTTTCATGGACACATATTCTCCCCTCAACTCCCACCTGATTTCTGAGTGCAGTCAGTCTTGAAGAAGTGGCTTCTGATTCTTTAGACATCTCCCTATACAATTATAAGAATTTTATATATAATTTCCAAAACAGACATTGCTTTGCTGCCATCATCTCCTTCCCAAATACTGTTGGGCATTTGGCACTTCTGTGGCCTTTCAACTGATGGCCCATAAGTCTTCTGTATTGAGGGTTATATAACTTGATTTAACTTTTCCCCTCAGGTCTGTGTCAGCAGAACTGAGAGCACATCTCAACATCCTGGATAAGGTACACAAAGTAGGTTATCTCTTTGCCTTCACTTACAATGCAGCATCTGACAGTGAATGTTTAGCACCTGGTGTTCATCCTTTTGAGGCTGGGTTAGTTATTTGTAGCTCAGAGCAGGGAGTTCACACTCAAGAGACTGTGCCAGCCCTTGCTGAGTCAAAATGCACCAACAGAACAGGACCAACAGGCAGCTGTCAGAATTAGCGCATTGCCCATGCATGCTCCACTCCACAGGCTCCACTCCTGTTCCTGCTTAGGGACATCATAATAGCACCTAAGGGCTCACCCAGAGTTAAGGGTTAACTGTGCTGGATGACGCACAAATGAGGACTCAAAAATGAAGTCCGTGGCACAAAAAGTCGAACACTGACACAGTTAGACAAAAGAACAAGAAACCATTATCTTCCCCACATCAAAACCAGGAACTGAAACAGTAGCTGTGACTTGTCAAGGTCACTCAAGAATTGAGCAACAGAGATTGGAAGAGAAATTTTTATTTCTCTGAGTCACAGCTCAGTGTCTCAGTCACAAGACCATCCTTCACCTCTCACTGTTTTCCCAAGGGAGGAACATGTCATTCCTATTTGCTTACCTAGCAGCAGTCCTAGCTACAGGCATAGCGTCTTCCTAAGTGAGCAGAGTACCAGCAAGGGTGGAGTCTGGAGCAATAGGGGCACATGAGCACTTGCCTCTCTGCTGGAGGCATATGACACAGCTGGTGAGCATTAGAAAGGCTGCCTGATTCCTGTAGCACCCTCAGATTTCATGCCCCATAAAGCTAATGCAGACAAGGAGAATTTGCAGCCCGATCCCCCTCAGATTAGGTTTCTGAACATTTCTTTTATGGCATGTGGAGAGAATCTGAAGGAGAACTCAACAGCACAGATATTTTCCTGGCAAGGGAAGAGCTTTGAACCTCTCAAGTGGTCCCAGAATAAACATCATGACTTAGGAATGAACACTATGTGCTGACAACGTCATCAGTTCATGTCTTTAAAGGCCAGCTTTTCAGGACAGCTTTTCTTGGTGCCCACTGTAAGGCTATGATCCAGCCATATTTTCTGGAATGAATGCAAGGGGTTAAATGGGCCACCTCCATGGCCTGCTTCTGTGGGCATGCATGCTCATCTCCATGCACACCAAGGGATGGAAGGCACTAACTTGTGAGAAGCAGGTGTGAACTGGAGCTTTCTGGTAGGACCAGTCCTGCTGGCTCCCCTCACAAACCCGCAATCTCACTGCAGGAGGAATGGAGGGGAAAGGGAATCATTGGGACACAATCTGCTGAGGAATTGCAACAAACACAGAGACATGGTTTAGGCTGATATAGCATATCCTGAGAGATTAGGAAAGGCCCTAAAAATACCTAAAATAGTCACGTTATGAAAAAGCAGTAACTCATATTGATTCCTTGCAGAAGATGGACAGGGATCTAGATGGGAAGAAGGTACTGGTCAGATGGATGTTATGGGATGCCTGCTAGCTAAGAAACAGTGTGGAGGATTAAAAAAGGTTATCTAATGAAAGTAGATGCAGGGGTAAAATTCCAGCTCTGCTGAAATCCAAGACAGGAAAAGACTTTAGGGGAGTCTGGGTTTGGCTGGGGAGATTTGCCGTGCTTGCAAGCCTGCAGGCATTGTTTTTGCTCATAGTCACAGCATGGTGCATGTGTGGTCCTGCCATGAATTTGAATGCCATCTAGACTAGTTTATGAGGAATACTGCTGGTTACAAAGTACAAACTTCTAGTTATATCACACACCCTATCTTCAAAACCTTTCAAACCTTGGGGCAGTTCTTGGCTTCAGGCAGGAAAGCTGAGCAAGCAAAGACTTCCCTGTCCCTCCATGTGGTCCCACAAACGGTTTCTTAAATATCTTGAAACAAAGTTGTTTTTCTGCATGACACTTGGTCCATTCAAGACCAAGTTTCATGATCTGCACTTCAACTGTAACAGCAGCTTCACTTCTCATTCCTGGCAGGTCCCAGGCAGACGCTGCACAGTAGAAGCAATAGTTTGGGAACTACAGCTTGGGGATAAGTGACTGGAAAGATGACTGGTGGTTGTTGGTTGACAGGGGCTGAACATGAACCAGTGTGTGCCCAGGTGGCCAATGACACCAACAGCATCCTGGCCTGTATTAATAACAGTGTGGCCAGCAGGACCAGGGCAGGAATTGCTCCCCTCAACCAGTGTACCCTCCTGCAGCTCAAATCCTGGGTTCAGTTTTGGGCTCCTCACTACAAGAAAACATTGAAGTGCTGGAGTGTGTCCAGAGAAGAGTGGTGGAGCTGGTGAAGGGTCTGTGACGAACAGCTCAGGGAGCTGGGACTCTTTAGACTGGAAAAAAGGAGGCTCAGAGGGGATCTTAGTGCTCTCTACAACTGCCTGAAGGGAGGCTGTAGCCAGGTAGGGGTCAAACTCTTCTCCCAAAGTAATCAGCAACAAGACAAGAGAAAATGGCCTCAAGTTGCACCAGGGGAGTTTTAGATTGGATATTAGGAAAATTCTCTTCACCGAAAGGGTTGTTAAGTATTGGAACAGGCTTGCCAGGGAAGTGCTTGAGTCTTCATCCACGGAGGTGTTTTAAATATGTGTAGATGTGGTGTTTAGGGACTTGGTTTAGTGTCGTACTTGGCAGTGTGAGGTTAATGGTTGGTCTTGATGATCCCAAAAGTCTTTTCCAGCCTAAACAATTCTATGATTCTAACCAGTGTCAATCTGCAGAGATGTTCCTGGGCTCAGGACATTTTCTGACAGTGGGAGAGCAGAAGCAGTCACATAGCAAGACAGGTTTTTTGAACAAGGAGCCCTACATAGTTCCTGGCCTTGTCAAGTCAGAGCTCCAAGTTCGTGACCATTTTTCCTTCTTGCAGAGAGAAGAGGAGTAAAGATATTATTTCTGTCTTACATCTGCCCCCAGGTTTAGGAACAAATCACTAATAGCAATCAAAGCTACACGTAAAAATCTGGTGACAGCTTGGGTAGGTTTTGTAATTGACATAGCAAAAGCTCTGTGAGGTCTCCCCACTGAGATTCTCTTTCACCCTTGCAGGTTCTTCCACCTGGTGTGAAGCAGAGCAGGAGAGCACAACAGAGCATGACTACAGACAAATGTATATAGATGTTGTATCTGCCTTGAGCCGACACAACCTTTACTGCAGTTCAGTTCACCACTTTCCCTTCCTTTTCCTCATGCTGTATCCCCATACTGCAAGCTGATGCATTGCCACATTGCCACATACTTATTAAATCCTGTCATGACAGTCCCAGAGCCAGTTAATTCCCACAGGTACTCTAATCACAGGCCATAGAAAGGGTAGCAGGAAACCAGCAACTGGAGACAATTAATGGAGAAGGGGATGTGTTGTGGTGTGTTGCAATATCCTGTTTTACCTTCTCCCTTCCCCCTCGCCCCTCGCTGAGTGTGCCCTGTCAATCAGGCTAACATACCAGC